CTTCAGTGCACAATCTGACACATTTTAAGAAATGTGAATGCTGGTATAACCACCATCCCAGTCAAACTCTGGGCATTCTTATCACCCACTAGAATTTAAGTTGCACATGGGCAATGTCTTTATCTGCCTAATTCACACAGTACAGGGTTCAGAACAACCTCTAACATAGTTCTTAATAAAAACTGTTTAACAATTAATTCTTTTCTAGGTTGAGAAGATTAAGTAAGGCAGTGCATACAAAGTGCTTATAGTGACAGGCAGAGAAGATATTCAGGAAATATAAGCTACTTTTATGATTCACTATGCTATCCCCAACAGTGCCCTGGATAGTGACCACCACAAATTAGGTGTACAATAAAGAATTAGATGGATAGAGAAAATGAATAAATGGGTGGGTGAGCAGATTGGTAGGTTTATGGGTAGGTGTGTGAATGGATTGGTGGATGTTTGAATAGATGAATGAATAGAATGAATGCTGGATGGATGGTTTTGATGGATGTTTTAATGGACGGATGGATGTTTGGATGGATGGATGGATGAATGGATGGATGGATGGATGGATGGATGCGTGGATGGATGGATGGATGCGTGGATGGATGTGTGGATGGATGGATGGGTGGTTGGATGGATAGATGAATGGATGAATGGATGAATGTTTGGATGGATGGATGGATGGATGGCTGAATGTTTGTATGAATGGATGAGTATTTAGATGGGTGGATGTCTGGATAGACATTTTGGATAGATGTTTGAAGGGATGCACTCAATGGATGTTTGGATGGATGGATATTTGAATGGATGGATGGATTGATGCATTAGTGTTTAGATGGATGTTTGGATGGATGGATGGATGTCTGGATGGATGGATGGATGAATGGATGAGTGTTTAGATGGATGTTTGAATGAATGGATGTTTGAATGAATGGATGGATGAATGGATGGATGGATGAATGGATGGATGGATGGATGGATGAATGGATGGATGGATGGGTGGATGGATGGATGGATGTTTGGATGGATGGATGGATGAAAGGATGGATGGATGGATGGATGAGTGTTTAGATGGATGTTTGGATGGATGTCTGGATGGATGGATGGGTGGATGGATGGATGAATGGATGGATGTTTTTATGGATGTTCGTATGGATGGATGAATGAGTGTTTAGATGGACGGTTGTCTGGATGGATGGATGGATGTTTGGATGGATGGGTGGGTGAATGGGTGTTTGTATGGATGGATGTTTGGATGGATGGATGGATGGATGGATGGATGGATGGATGGATGGATGTTTAGATGGATGTTTGGATGGATGTCTGGTTGGATGGATGGGTGGATGGATGGATGAATGGATGGATGGATGGATGAGTGTTTAGATGGATGTCTGGATGGATGGATGGGTGGATGGATGGGTGGATGGATGGGTGAATGGATGAATGTTTTTATGGATGTTTGTATGGATGGATGAATGAGTGTTTAGATGGATGGTTGTCTGGATGGATGGATGGGTGGGTGGATGGATGGATGGATGGATGGATGGATGGATGGACGGATGGGTGAATGGGTGAATGGGTAAGTGATTGTCTTAGTAAACACCCAGAATTCCCGGGGGAAACCTAGAGGAGCTTTTCCTTGAGATTCCACAGTACTATCCTTGCATCAGGATGCTCAGGAGAGGAAAGGAAGGCAGCTTGTATAGCCAGGATCTTTTTCATTCCCTGAGCAGACAGACATCACTTTACATTTCACATTGCAGTCTTATCTCCCTCCTCCATTGTCATTTCCAGGGTGTTTCCTCCAGCAGGGTGGTAGTCTATTCTCCCCATTTACAGGTTAGAAAACTCAAGCTTAACAAGTTGAAATGACTCATCCAAGTCATGCAGTCAGAAAGTAGAGGGCTAGGCCTCAGACCTGGGTCTCTGGACTCCTGTTCTTTCTCTGTGTCCAGGGGTTGAGAGGCAGGAAAGCCCAGAGAATAAGAACATTCCTTTCAGGCACTGTCAGCCATTGAGTTCTAGAAGCAGGCAAGTGGGGCCAGGCTTTCACTGTCTGGAGCTGCTAATGGGCCAGGCTCTGAGTGTCAGGAGCCTGAGGGTGGAAGGAGTGGGGAGGCTGAGAGCAGCTGGCTTGGCTTCCAGAAGCAACATCTCAATTGCAGCCGTGGAGGAGAGAGTCAGGGGCCATCTGCTACAAAGGCACTTGCCTGGTGGCAGCTGCCAGGATAGAGCTCGAAAGAAGCAACGGAGGAGCAGACCACTCTTCTGCCTACCCTCTGTGCCCCTCAGGGTCAGATGCACACAGGAGCCCAGGAGCTGGGGTTCCCTGGGTGGAAGAAAGCACCCTTCTCTGCCTCCCCTCTTCCCCTGGACTCTGAGCCTCCCTCTGAAGCCCTATGTGCCATCACGTCTTGTTTCTGACACTTCCTTGCAGTGTGACCTTGGACAAGCCACTGCCCTCCTGGAGGCCTGATTCTATGGCCTCACAGTGGGTTTCATGTAACCTGCCTCATAAGTACCAGAATGGTGTGACCATCCTAAAATGGAGTCTAGCGCATGTTTGACATCTGATAAAAGTTGACTCTCTCTTCCCTTAGAACCAGCAGGCCCTAAGGAAGGAGTAAGGCAGGCCCCTTAGAAAGTGGGGCACTGAGGAATCTGACCTAGAAGGGAAAGGTGTCTGCCCCACCCTCCAGGGCACAAGCCTTTTCCAGGACCAGGATGTCCTTCACACCCTTTTCTGGCTGCAGCCACCAGTGCCACCCCAGCAGCCCTTCAAGAACAGAAAGAGCAGCCAAAATTACCCAGGGCTAGACTGCCCTAGGCCTGGTTTCCCATCTGCAAATCCACATCTACAGCAATTGAGAGTTTGTTTTAAAAGCTAAAAAGTTGCTTGGCCTCCCTGAGCCTTCATTTCCTTATGGCAACAATCTCAAAGCCTGGGAGGCTAAATGAGATCGCGCATATGGCACTTCATGTAGGTCCTGGCTCTTAGGAAGAGTAAAACAAATGTGAGCCATCAAATCTGCCAGTGCCTGACGTTCCCAACGGCCCCTTGTGTTAGGCAAGGGGTATCATTGTTCCTATGGTGCACTTGGGAAAGGTAGGGGAGCTACTCATCGAAGGGCGCACAGAACAGATTAGAACCCAGCTCTCAGGTCTGGCAGGCCAGTGGCCTTTCCACACGTCTGGCTGGCAGCTGCAGCTGCAGAAGCAGCTCTTGCCTTCCCAGCTATTCCCTCCCCTTGATGCAAGCCCCCCTCTTCCCGCAGATGCTTCCCTAGACCCATGTGGCACTTCAGATGTCTTGCTCATGGTTTAATTAATAGTCCTTTGGTTTCATTCTCAGAGAATGAAATTGGCAGTGCCTGGGAGACCACCCACACCTGCCAACTGCTCTGATTTCTGTTCTGAGAGCTTTGAGTCAGAAAGAGAGGCCTGAGGACCAGCAAAGACAGGTGGGGGTGATCCCAAGGCAGCCCCAGGGCCTAAGGACAAAGCTTCTCCGCCCCTAGAAGAAGTTTACATAGAGTAACACAAAACATAGAGTACCAAACAAAACCCTCACCCCTTCCTCCGCCCTGGAAACTCTATGGGATCTGTCTCCCAGCCCCATTCCCTCCCTGACCTGCCTCTGTCCCATGCCCTGGCTATTCTCTGTGCCTGGAATATGTCTCATGAGCTTCACAGCTCAGCTTAAATTTCACCTCCTTGGAAAAGACACCCTGACCACCATCTGAGGATGTCACCCACCAACTCTGAGCCTCTCCCCTTGGTCTAATGATCTGCCTAGAGCACTGCCACTGTCATCCTGGTTTACACATGTGTTTGCTTACAAATGGTCACCCCTACTGAAGTGGGAGCTCGTGGCAGCAGGCAATGGGTCTCGTTCAGCACCATATCCTCAGCTCTGCTCCAAATGGCTGTCTCCATAATTACTGTTGAATGAGTGAGTGAATGAATGAATGAATGAGTGAATGAATGAATTGGGGAAAACAGTTCTGGCAAGAAGGTCAGGAAACATGGGTAACGAGCTCTGTGAGTGACCTTGGATAAGCCTCTACATTATCTGTGGAGCTCTGCTTCTCAGCTGAAATGAAGGGAACCAATCCAGTGATCCCTAGTGGCGCCTCCATCCCTGATATTCTCAGGTGTTGTTCAGAGGATAGTCACGCCCTTGAGAATCTTGGCTTTCAAGCTCAGAGATATAAAGGGACTGAATAAGAGGCAATACAAGGAAGTGAGGAAGAGAGGCAGGGAGGTTGGGGACAAGGAAGGAGGTGGTCTCCCCACACCATGTCCATCAGGTGTGGATGAACCTGGAAGATGAACGAGGTAAAAAGAACACTTACCAGGCTCATCTTACCAGGAAGATCTTACCAGGAAGATGAACCTGGTAAAAAGAGCACTGACTCAGGAGTGGGAGATCCTCAAGATGTGAACTTGGCTCTGCTCAAGATTTGACTTTGGGCAAATCACCTCGTGACTCTCTGGGCCTCAGTTAACTCAACTGGACAATGAGGCTGATGACACCGGCAATGCAAGTCCCAAGGGGGTAGATGGGTGGGAGTTAGGGGTACCTCAAATCTGGCTGCTGACACAGGCTGCTCCCCATCAGCAGCCTAGTAGCACCTACCCCAGGTAAGTTTCCCTCCCTGACCCCACGGTCCACTGGGCTTCTCTGATCTTGTCCGCTGTCGCACTGGCTTGTACTTGCCTGTTTTTTGTTTTTCTCCCCTACTGATGTGTGAACCCCATAAGGACAGGAATCGTGCTCTATACACCATTGACTCCCCAGGTCCTAGACAGCATCTGATTCATTGCATGGGCTTAGGGAATGTGTCTGAATGAATGCAGGTGTGAATGAATAAATGAATGAGCACACTGACCTTCTAACAAAAGCAGCTGATCCCAAGGATGTTGATTGCTAGACTAGAACCTTCTCTTCCATGTCCCCGGCCCCTCCTTTCCTTACTCTCTCTGATCTAGACTTTCTCTCCCTACAGTTGCCCCCAAAGGACCCAAAATTGTGATGACGCCCAGCAGAGCCCGGGTTGGGGACACAGTGAGGATTCTGGTCCACGGGTTTCAGGTCAGCTTCTCTCTGAACATCTGGGAGAGTGGTGGGAGGTGGCAGAGCCACCAACCGAGCTCCAGCATCCCTGGCAGGTCTCTCTGACACCCTCCCTACATCCCTAGCCACATCCAGTGGGCTTCAGTTTCCCAAGAATCGGTTCCCATGAGGAATGGCAAAGAGGTGTACGTGTGTTTCACTCCTCCATCTAGAACCCAGGGTAAACCTAGCTCTTCAACCAGACATGGTCTTCAGTCCCAGACTCCTTCTCCTCCTGGAGTTCAGGGCAGCCACTCCCAACCCATCAAATGAGAACCCTGACCTCTTGCTGCTCTGGCAGAGTGGGTCCTCCTGTGACCTAACTCTCCCCTGCTCCGGCCAACAGAATGAAGTCTTCCCGGAGCCCATGTTCACGTGGACACGGGTTGGAAGCCGCCTCCTGGACGGCAGTGCTGAGTTCGACGGGAAGGAGCTGGTGCTGGAGCGGGTTCCTGCCGAGCTCAATGGCTCCATGTATCGCTGCACCGCCCAGAACCCGCTGGGCTCCACCGACACACACACCCGGCTCATCGTGTTTGGTAAGGCGCGCTCAACCAGGGGCTGGCTGGGAGAACAACCACAGGAACCGGCCCTGGCTGGGAAGTGTCCCCAGGCGGAGGAAGCTGCAAGGGCTCAGATCTCCTCAATTTGCCTTGAGAGGCAGGGTCGTTCAGTGGTTACAACTATAACAGCTTTGGAGTCAGAGAGAACCTTGGGCAAACTGCCTGACCTCTCTCGCTTTCTCCATCTGCAAAGGGGCTAATACGATCCAGCACCCAGGGAGGTTGTGTGGCTGCCCCGAGACAGTGCATGTGATACCTCCCAGCAGGCACTGGGTCAAGGGCCACTCCTTCCCTGAGTTCCAAGTGCCATCTACTCTTTGGTCCTCTTTCTGTTTCTTTCCAACAGAAAACCCAAATATCCCAAGAGGAATGGAGGATTCCAATGGTAAGTGTCCATGCTCAGGACTTCTTGCTTAAAAGGGAGTGGGTTTTGAGTCACCAGAAAGCTCTCGTCCCCTAAACTGCCCATGTGCATACCATTGCCACTCCCTAACACCTCAGGCATGTCATTGCCCTCTAGCAGGGCAGAGTCAGGGTCCAAAGTGGGCAGAGGTGGAGACTGAGGCAGTAAAGGGGGACTCAGTGTGCCAAAGCAGCCAACTGAGATTCCTGGGGCCGACTGTGCCCCATCTCACTGTACATGGCATCTCTAGCTCTCTTAACTCAGAGCTCAGCTGCCCTGACCTCAGAAGGGTGTGTCCAGCCTGGACCATGGGTCTGTGTTCTGAGGTTGTGGATGACTCCATAGGGCTGTTGGGAGCATCGACAGATGTCTCAGTGCAGACCCTTTATATTGTCCTCCCTTGGGCTACTCCACTCCCCTCCCTGCTCTAACATTCACTCCAAGGGGCCCAGACACTGCTTCCAGGCCTGCCACCCCCTCCCTACATGAAACCAATCTCACAGTTCACAATGGAGGCTCCCACTCTTGGTCCTCACTGGACCATCCTCATGGCCCCTAGGAAGTCTGACCAGAGTCTAGCAAGCCTGGGAGTGAGGAAAGGTATCATGGACAGTTAGGTGGCCAGGTGGCAGAGTTGGGCCTTGAACCCAGTTTGCGCAGATGCTGAAGCCTGGCATTTTTGCTGGGGACCTGGAGGCTCTGCTGTTCTGGAACAGGGCTGGGTCTGCAGGCTCTGACCCCTTTCCTGCCTCCTGGCACAGGTTCCATGTCTGGCCCTGCTGGCGCCCAGCTGACCTTGGTGCTCGCCCTGACAGTGATTCTGGAGCTGACGTGAAGGCACCCGCCCCAGCCACTCCATCAGGCACTGACATCTCCGTGACCGGTTTTCATTTCTTTTCTAAACTATTTCCAGTCTTGTTCTTAGTCTCTTTCCATCTGTGTCTTGGCTTCTTCAGTCGGTTTAATTAAAACAAACAGAACGATTTTCCCCATCTCAGTTTGTGGCTCTGCATTCTTTATTTGTTCAGTAGCAGCAACTGGGCCCCTCCTCCTGGCATCCACTACTGGGACAGGCACTGAGGGGGAATGGCAAGGGAGATGGAAGGCATGCGCTTCCCAGATGAACGTGGACATGGGGCTCACTATCACACTCAAGTCCTAGTAACTAAGTGTGGAATGTGGCCAGAGACTTGGGCAATACAAGCTTCCTCAGGGCTAAGTGTAATAGTCAGCTGTTGACACAATAATGCTGTGTAACAAACTAACCCAAACCTCAACGGCATGCAATGACAAGCACTTGTGATTATGTTCACGTTCAGGTTGAAGTGGTTCAGCTGATCTAGTCTGGGCTCAGCTGGACAGCTCTGCTTCAGGCAGCAGGTCAACTGGACTGGACTCCAAGCTGTGGGTTGGGTTCAGGCGTCCTCCATGGGTTGGTTTGTTCCATGGGTGTTTGTCTGGGGCCCACACTAAAGGGGAAGTGACTAGCTAAAATTCGATTGTCTTATAGTAGATCATCAGTGCTCAAGAAGAAACTCAAACCATTCAAGCACATTGAAGGCCTCTGCCTGTGTCACGTCCATGAACACTTCTTTAGCCAAAGCAAGTCACTTGGCCAAGGCTGACATCAGTCAAGTTCACATGCATGTCAGTGGTAGAGTTTTCTCAGAACTTTCTACTCAACTACTACAAGATTCATCATGCCATTCAGCTATTAACTCAGTGAGAAGAACTGAGAGTCTTTGGAGAGGGTTGGGGTTGGCCTCTCTGAGCCATGGTCAAGACTTGGGATTCACCAGGAAGAGCCCATGGAAGTCCGTCATCAGTCTGGAGAGGATAGGCCCTGCTGCAGTAATGCATTGAGCCCAGAGTCTTACTGCCTTAACACAATTGATGTGGTTTGAACCTGTGCCTCCACCAAATCTCATGGTGAAATGTAACCCCGAGTGTTGGAAGTGGGGCCTGGTGGGAAGTGTTAGGATCATGTGGGCAGACCCCTCATGAGTAGCATCCCCTTTGTGATGAGTGAGTGAGTTCCAGAGAGATCTCATTGTTTAAAAGTGTGTAGCACCTCCCCACGCCCGACTGACTCTCTCTCTTGCTCCTGCTTTTGCCGTGTGACATGACTGCTCCTGCTTTCCTTCCTGCCACAAGTCAAAGCTCCCTGAGGCCTCCCCAGAAGCTGAGCAGATGCTGACACCATGCTTCCTGTGCAGACTGCAGAACCATGAGACGATTACATCTCTTTCCTTTATAAATTACCCAGTCTCAGGAATTTCTTGATAGCAATGCAAGAATGCCTAACACAACAATAAAGATTTATTTGGGGCTCATGAGAGGCCCAGGCAGTTTAAGCAGATCAGTTCCATCTTGTAGCTACATCACATGGAACATGTGGCTTCCAGAATTTCCAGGGGAGAGAAAAAGAGGGTGGTGGTAGGCAGGATAATGCCCTCTCACCAGTCCATATCCTAATCCCTAGAACCTGTGAATATGTTACCTTCTATGGCAAAAGGGATTTTGCCCATGTGATCAAATTAAGCATCTTCAGATGCAGATATCAGCCTGATTTATCCAGGTGGGCTCAATGTAATCACAACATCTTTATAAGAGGGAGGCAAGAAGGTGAAAGGCCGTAGAAGGAGATGTGATGATAGAAGCAAGAGATGGGAGTCACGCAAGGAAGGAGCCACAAGCCAAGGAATGCAGGCAGTCTCTAGAAGCCAAATGGGGTAAGCTAACAGATTTTCCCCCTTGAGTTTCCAGAAGAAACTGGCCTGGCCAACGTGTTTAGCCCATGAGACTCATTTCAGACTTCTGACTTCAGAACTCTAAGAGAATAAATTTGCCATATTCTTTTAAGCCACTACATTTGTGGCAGTTTGTTACAGCAGCAATTGGGAAACTAATACAATCACACAGAATGTGATTAAGGCCCAGGCCTAATAGAGGACAAATCACCCCGTCCATACCCTACTGGCCAGGAGTAGTCACATGGCCCAATCTGACTGCAAAGGAGGCTGGGAAATGCAGTTTTGCTGTGTGCCCTGGAAAGGAAATAGAGTGGTGACCTCAGAGCACGGCATCTGCCACAGAGAAGCTGGGACCCATTTAGTGATTCATTTCCATGGAATAAAATGAATGGAAATTATTCATTCATTTATTTCATCCACGGAAATGAATGAATTCTACCCAGGCCTGAGTGGCCAGAGGAGGGAGGACTGGGAGGCTCTATCACCCACCAGGAATGGCTCTCATCACCTCTGCTTATGAATACCCTGTGCTTCTCCTCCCTTTCCAACCAGGAGAGATATCACTGAGTCACCTGTGCCTCTCCCAGACAGTGCAGACGTCATAAGGAATCGGGGCCATCCCTACAAAAACTCCAGGTGCCAGACACGCCAAGCTGGGAATTAAGCATTGGCTCTATCTCCTTGTGGTCGTCATAGCCCATTTAGCCCTGGTCAAGTCAGGTCCTGAGTGACCATTTCAATTTGTTTCCATACTGACTTTCAAATTTCTGACTCCCTAACATTTCCCTGGAATTCTAAACTCAGATGTCCAACTTTATAATATTGTCCCTCTACCTCACTGGACATCAAATATGCATTTCCAACCTCATGTGGCCAAAACCGTTTTTGCTTCTCCCTTCCAAAACATGCTCCTTCGCCAGCATTCCCCTTCTCTAGAAATAGCACCATCAACCCAGTTGCTTGGGTCAAACATTTCACTGTTATCTTTCATTCATCTTTTCATCTCCTTCCTCCACATCCAACCCCACAGCTTGTTGGCTTCCCTCTCAAAACTCATCCAGAATTTACCCACTTTTCTCTTTCTCCACTGCCATCAACCTAGATGAAGCTTCCTCTTTCCTGGAAAACTGCCTCAGCCTCCAATCTGGTCTTCAGATTTCCTCCTCCACCCCGAGTCTAGTCCCCGCATAGCCAACAGTGGAATCCTCTTAAATCTGTCATGCCACGGCGCCCTCCTCAGGTCCCTGGCTTCTCATCACACAGAAAACAAAACCGAGCCCTTTACAAGGCGACCAGGACTCTGCTCTGCCTGCCCCTCTAAGTCTGTCTCATCCGCATTCCCTCTATCTCGTTGCTTCACTTACAATCATCTTTCCGTTCATCAAATTCTTGACGTCCACTCCTGCTTTAGGGCCTTTGTTCTGCTTTTCCCTTCCCCCTGGAATTCTCTTCTCCTTTGCAGAGCTGGATCCTCCATGCCATTAACTCCCACAGCCTCACAGAGACCCACCTGACCACCACACCACTCTCCATGGTGCCACCCTTGATTTAATTCCCAGCAAGGCATGCCTTATTACCCTATGCTTTTCAGACATACTTATTTATTTATTGGCAGTCTTCCCCTACCCTGAGCCAGAATGTTAGCCCCGTGAGCACAGGGACCATGTCTGTATTGTGTACTGCTGCATCCTCACACTTAGATCAGAGCCTGGCACATGGCTCGGTAACTAATAATTGAGTTGAGTGAATGAATGATGAATGAATGAATCAGCACCTCCCAAGGACCTACTATGAGCCAAGCACTGTGCTAGACACCAGGCTGCAGAGATGAACAAGGATATTCTGCTTTCAAGGAGCTCACAGTCCTGGAAGGGGAAAGCATTTACCCACCTAAACAGTGGAAGTCAAACTGTGATGATCACTCAGCACCAGCACCCACCCAGGACGCTGAAGCATCGATGTGAGAGGAATGAATCAGAGGAGACCAGAGAGAACAGATACTTACGAGCAGAACTTTGAAGGAAACATAGAAGTTGGCCAGGCAGAAAATGAACGAGAATATTCTAGACAGGAGAATAGCATGAGCAAAGGCTTGGCATTAGGATGATTTAGTGTACATTTTGGGAAAAGATAAATAGTTACATCAGTGCTTCCAAAAGCACATTAATTCACTCAGCAGATATTTACTAATCACTTACCAGGAGTCAAGTAGTGTGATGAATGCTGCAGATTAAATAGGAACACTGTCTCATGACTCTTGGGTCCGCTATCTACGGCCACAATAATGCTGTGTAACAAACATCCCCAACATGTAGCGGCTTAAAGTAACAGCTGTTTATTATGTCTCATTAGGTGATAGGCTGCTGATCTGGGCCAGGTTTGGCTGATCTAGGCTGGGCTTATTTTTGTATCCTCAGTCAAGTGGAGGCGAGCTGGTGGCCAGCTGGTCTAGGGTGGCCTTGGCTGGGACAACTCAGTTTTGCTCCATGGAGGCTCTCTCTTTTATCCCCTGGCAAGAGAGCCCAGCGAAGGCAGAAAAGCAAGAAAGAGAGAGTGCCAAAGCACACAGGCCTCTGGTGGTCTAAGGGAAACTGGACACTGGCAATTCTGCTACATTTTGTTGGCTTATGCAGTCATAAAGCCGGCTCAGATTCAAGGGGTGGAGACACAGATTCTGAACTTTAATGGGAGAAGCTGAAAAGTCACATTTATAGTGTGCAAATGAATACAGGGAAGGAGTGAAATTAGAGCAATTTTTGCAATCTGCAACGACCCTATATTCTAAAACTGATGTTCAAGAATCTAGGTTTCCCATGCACCATATTGCATACTCTCATTTAAGCTAGGAGGCTCAAGTGCCTCCTAGCAGCAATTTCTCTTTCAAAAATAACATGGCTGGGCATGGTGGGTCATGCCTATAATTCTAGCACTTTGGGAGGCCAAGGCAGACAGATTGCTTGAGCTCGGGAATTCAAGATCAGCCTGGGCAATGTGGTGGGACCCATTCTCTACAAAAAAAAAAAAAAAAAAAAAAAAAAAAAATTAGCCAAGCATGGCAGCATGCATCTGTAGTCTCAGCTACTCAGGAGACTGAGGTAGGAGGATTGCTTGAGCCCAGGAAGTTGAGGCTGCAGTGAGCCATGATCACACTACTGCACTCCAGCCTGGGCAACAGGTGAGACCCTATCTCAAAAAAAAAATAATAATAACACACACACACACACACACACACACTGTAA